TCCTAAACAGACTTCCAGCCAAGGCTAACGAGCTCTGTCTACCCGTAAAACATATATATAAATATGGAAATTTAATTCTGTAAATATATTACTTGATGTAGTGAAACGAACCAGTAGTATTTTTTACGAGTTTCTCGGATTAATATATCCCTTAGTTTATCTGAATTATAAGCTCAAATTCCTGTTAATAAGTAATTTAATTATTAATTAAATAATATTATTAAAAACAAAAACAAGAATAAATATGTAAAATGCAAAAAAAAAAAAATAATTATCTCCCTTTGGTTGGGATGAAGTCACGTGTGTCATTTGATAGCCAGTGAGTGACGTCTGTAGATTTTTTAATTATCACTCCTCGATTCGAGACGTGCATGTCAACGCAAGTGCTAAGATCCAAACACAGACATGACAAGCCCACAGTGGTAGGACATACTGAGAAAACTACGTGATCTCACCAAATACATAGAAGACACCCATGGCCTGCAATTTTTCCAGTTGAGAAATAATACAAGTAAGACCCTATCTTTTTTCGCCCCTTTCACACTGCTTGTTTTCTGCATATGTTATAGTTTCTTTGTTTGGGATAAACTAGTGATAGGTATTTATATATCCGTATAAAAATCTCTTTGAAAACTATTCATGTTTGTTACTCTTTTATTTCAGCTATTCTGTCCCATCCATGTGTCAATGTTTTGTTATATCATAGGTATAATAATGATTACAATGGACAACTGGAAACTTGGAATGCTTCTTTCTTCCATAATGGCCAGATTAAATAGATTAATATATATGCGGAAATGTTTTAATATATAATCTCTCATTATATCTTTCATTATATCGTTTTTAAAATTGGGTTTATTTCTCTTTTTTATTGGCTTGTTGACGTTTCACTTATCTAAAACCTCGTTCCACTTCCTCTGCTCCGTAAAAGAAACCCAAGGAATGATGTCCCCCCCGACACCCATTTTGCTTTCTGCAAAAGCGCATTAATTCTTGCACTGAAAACCTTTTCTCAATTTAAACGCAGTCACCTTTTCTCCATTTATTTTTATTTTTCATAAACTGCCTCACATCCTGTCCATTCCCCCATCACCTCAAATTTTCAACACTTTCTCTTCCCTTGTCATCACTTTCCGTATCCGCCAATTGCAGACAGCAGTCTTCCTCCCTAGAGCCGCCAACTTGCGTTACATTCGCACTTCCAACTTAGCAAGAATCACGCGAATCGTGCAAGGAAATTTATTTCGCAACTATGCACGCTCGTCTCAGCGCACTCTTCAAGAAGCCCACCGGCAATAAACCGGTCTCTGACTTTCTCATTTTTTTTATAGTTTTTACAAAAGTTTTCACCCTCCCTGTCGAGTCGGCTTCTTGCTGCTTCTCCCTCAGATTGTCTTTCTCTAGAGCTTAATATTGGAGAATTTATTTTGATACTATCTTCTACCCAGCTTTTAAGAAGAAAAACTTAAAGAAACACCTTCTTCAACAGTGGATTCTGACAACATATTCAAGTATTTTACCAAACACACATGTTTAAGCTGTAACGCACACACAAATGTAAAACAAGTGTGCGTATACTATAAAGGAATTCTCGGAACTAACCAAACATACCTGAAGCCATATTTAAACGTGATATCATCAATTTAAATATTTACCAAGCTTATGTTAGTTTGCTTCCATGCTACAACAGACAAGTTAAAGAGTATCAAAATAGTTACATTTATACGTGAGACGCCTTTGCTAAATAGTATATCCCGTTGGGCGCCATTTGCAAACACTTAACATAGTCTGGAAATAGCGTCATATTTGTGAGACATTCTTAAAACATTGAAGTCACTAGAGTATACTCATTTTTTTCTCTCATTTCAACTCAAGCAAGGCGATAAAGCAACTAAAAGTAAAAAGGTTAGTGATGGTGAAAGAAACTGGAAAAATGATTATTGAGTTTATGCTGCTCATATCCAAAGATGGCTGTCTATTTGGGCGGCTTGACAAACCCTGTTTTAAGACGCTTGCACAGTCACATTTATGAGAGACAGCATTTTATCTGGCGTGATCAACAGTCTGAACAAAGTTAGTACGCTAAAACCCTCGATCACGATGAGGTCTGAGGAACTACAAAGGACAGGAAGCTGTGGAGAGCCATGATAGTTCTTGCTCTGAAGAATGGAAAGACCTCATTTTTGTGTTTATGCATATTTATTTTTATTCAAGAAATTTGTAGTTTCTTGCAGTTTTGTCTTTTTTTCCAGGTGTCAATATTCAAATCGGGAAGACTGCTTTTCACATTTCCATTGGCTTGGTTTCATTGTTAGCGTCATTAATTTATTTCTTATTAAGGTAGTTCTGTTATTAAAAACTATTCTCACACTTTCATTGTGTTTTGACCCCAGTTTGGGAGTTAACTATTTGTTCATATTAGGCACTCAGACAGGTGCTACCACCCCGGGTTAGGGTGGATTTGAAAGCACCAGCAATTGAGGTGGTTCCACACTCCTCAAAACCTCCTGGTCAGAGGCCTTGCTGTTGGACGTAGTTTATCTACGACCCGGGTGTAGTTTATCGTCGTGCCCCGGACGGGAATATTATTGATAACAAGCATTTATATTGTATGGTATTCCTTTGATTAATTAAACATTATTATTCTACCAACTCTCATTTTTACCTATGCTAGATCGAAAATGGGTTTTACTTGTTATTAGTGAGTAGTGTTTATCTTTCCACTTTATATACAAAACTTAACTGGTATTAATTTTGTACTATTGCTAGTTTGAGTGATTTGTTTGGTTTGGCTTGTTTTGTTTTACGGCATATATTTTTTTTCAAAATTAAAAAAATATTGCTGTTGATATTGTTTTTTCAAAAATGTATTGCTGGTAATATTTATTTTCGTCAAAAATGTATTGCTGGCATTAAAACCAATTTTTACACTTTCATAGTATATTGACTCCAGTTTGGGGGTTAACTATTTGCCCATAGCTGGGACCCTAACAGGTGCTACCACCCCGGGTCAGGGTGGACCTGGGAACACCAGCAATTAAGAGGTGGTTCCACTCTCTTCAAAACCTCCTGATCAGAGGCCTTGCTGTTGGACGGTGTTTATCGTCTTACCCAGGACGCCGGAAGCTGTTTATCGTCTTGCCCAGGACGCCGGATGTAGATTATTGTCATACCCAGGACGCCGGATGTAGATTATTGTCATACCCAGGACGCCGGATGTAGTTTATTTTAATACCCAGGACGCCGGATGTAGTTTATTTTAATACCCAGGACGCCGGATGTAGTTTATCGTCTTACCCAGGACGCGAGTGATTTGTTTTTGTGACCTAGCAAAAATTTACAGGTAATGTAAAGCCAGAAAATATTGTAAGATTTTCTTGTGGAGAGATAACAAAGATGTCCTGATACAAATCATACTATTTAATCCATAGCTCGGAGTGAAGGAGTGGACTTATTTGCGAGCAAATGAATATAACTAGCCCCAATGCAATTGGAACTGTGCTCTCCGATTTCCAATTCCGAGCCGGTATCCATTACACCATCCGCACATCCAAGCTTACAGTACCTGCCATTCAGAAGGCTCGATGTTGCTTAACAATTAGTGATCGTACGGGAACCGATAGTTAAGAGGCGGTTCTATGATCCCCCAACATTTCACGATCACGGGCTTTGCTGCCGGATGGAGTCTATCGTCATACCCAGGACTGTGTATGCATGAGTGTTTGTGTGTGTTTGCATATATTTCTAAATACCATATCTCTTTGGGAAGTATGCGATCATGTCTCTCCTTTGGTTCCTTCTCTTCTCGATTCTCTTCGCTTATCTGTGAGTTTCTCTGTCCTCTTGGGGAACATAAGGAAGTGTTTTCCATTACCTTCTTTACGGTTTAGTAGTCAGCATTTTTCATTCTGTCAGAATGGTTGCCCTCAAGACTAGAGGGCCGAGTCTACCATACTATTTTACCTAAAGTTTGGCAAGAGGTGCATGAGTTAAGGATTTCTGCTTTCAACAAGGGCAATGATGAGAAAGTGAACGGAGGAGACTAGGCTGGAACTCGGCCTACCATCTCCACCTACTGCGCCCGAAGTTAATAAATAAACACCTTTATTTATTGGATAAGATGAGAATTCAATCCAGTTACATGTCTTGAAGATACACGCAGTAAAACCTAGTGTCTTAGTGGCTTTATTGGCCTTGCTTGGGGGCAAAATGATTAAAAAAAATGTATTTACTTATCTTTGGTTGGAATAACATATCACTCAACTTGTTTACAGTATATGGGTTTACGAAGCGGTTACTCATCTAAATGTTGTCGAGATTCGATTATCTCTTAACTCTGCACTCTCTCCTCCTCTCAACTTAATGATCTTTCTCTCAAACGGGCAATCTGTTTTTTTATTTTAGTTTTTTTTCCCTCGTTATCCAATCAGATTGTTCGTTCTATTACAGTTCGACATCTGCCTTAGACATTCGTCTTTTAACTTCCGCCATCAATTTTTTTATAATTTTTCTTTTTCGTCCTTCGCTATATTTTTGGTCGGGGGGGGATTTTTTCTTTCTGGAGGTACATTGATTTAAGGAACAACATTTTGCCATTCTTTCACTCATAAAATTTTATTTTTTTCAAAGTTTTGGGATATTTATAATGCTTTACCGGCTGACAAATAGCGATAGATGGACTGCAAAATGCTTTCATACTTTTTTCCTTCAGAGGGAAGACGGTTGGTGCCAGAAAATGATAACATGTTTCTTTGCTGGGTACTTAATGTCGGTGGCGTGAATTAATGGTTTGGATGATAACCTCAAGGGTGTTTACTGGAATAAATTCCATTCCTGCTGTGGGCTCCAGCAATGTTGGCCGTGTGACAAACTAAACAAATATGTGAATATTTAAAATAATACCCGTGCAAAAGAGATTCATAGTTTGCAGGGTACTTTTGAAGTCAACTGTAACTGCGACGGATTGAGTTCAATCCTCGTTTAAAGCTCCAGTTTCAATTCTACGCTATATTACGATAAGAAAACAGAACAGAGTACCTGCCATAAAAAGAAAAGAATATATCGGCACAAAAATGTAAAGAAAACGACATAGAGACAGAGATAGAGACAGACAGAGAACAGAAAAAATGAGAATAAGAGAGAAAACAGAAAAATGAGAATAAATGAGAAAACAGAAAAAAATGAGAATAAATGAGAAAACAGAAAAAAATGAGAATAAATGAGAAAACAGAAAAAATGAGAATAAATGAGAAAACAGAAAAAATGAGAATAAATGAGAAAACAGAAAAAATGAGAATAAATGAGAAAACAGAAAAAATGTGAATAAATGAGAAAACAGAAAAAATGAGAATAAATGAGAAAACAGAAAAAATGAGAATAAATGAGAAAACAGAAAAAATGAGAATAAATGAGAAAACAGAAAAAAATGTGAATAAATGAGAAAACAGAAAAAATGAGAATAAATGAGAAAACAGAAAAAATGAGAATAAATGAAAAAACAGAAAAATGAGAAATAAATGAGAAAATCGAAAAAATGAGAATAAATGAGAAAAAAGAAAAAATGAGAAAACAGAAAAAATGAGAATAAATGAGAAAACAGAAAAAAGTGAATAAATGAGAAAACAGAAAACATGAGAATGAGGGAGAAAACAGAAAACATGAGAATAAATGAGAAAATAGAAAAGATGTGAATAAGAGAGAAAACTGAAAAAATTAGAATAAATAAGAAAACAGAAAAAATGAGAATAAGAGAGAAAACAGGAAAAATGAGAATAAATGAGGAAACAGAAAAAAATGAGAATAAGAGAGAAAACCGAAAATTGTGAATAAATGAGAAAACAGAAAAAATGAGAATAAATCAGAAAACAGAAAAAATGAGAATAAATGAGAAAACAGAAAAAAGTGAATAAATGAGAAAACAGAAAAAATGAGAATAAATGAGAAAACAGAAAAAATGTGAATAAATGAGAAAACAGAAAAAATTAGAATAAATGACAAAACTGAAAAAATGAGAAAAGAGAAAAAATGTGAATAAATGAGAAAACAGAAAAAATGAGAATAAATGAGAAAACAGAAAAAATGAGAATAAATGAGAAAACCGAAAAAAATGAGAATAAATAAGAAAACAAAAAATGAGAATAAATGAGAAAATGGAAAAAATGAGAATGAGAGAGAAAATGGAAAAAATGAGAATAAGAGAGACAATGGAAAAAATGAGAATAAGAGAGAAAACAGAAATAAAAGAGAATGAGGAAAAAAGGCAGAAAAATGAAAGAGAAAAAAGGAAGAGAATGAGGTAAAAATAAGAAAGAGAAAGCGGAAGAAAGAAATTGGGAAAGAAAGTTTATGAAAAAACACAACAACTAAACTTACCAGCCAAATGTCAAAGACTCAGAGACAATTACTTGCATATTGAGTTCTTTTTTGAATTCGATTCGCTCCGTATGGGCGTGCATCTAAATACCCAGAGGTCTTGCACACTTCATCAACTGTCTTGTGTTGTGAACAAAGGGCCCGTCGCCCAATGACATAAACTGAGATGCATATATTTTATCTGCACCAAGATTCCAAAAAAAAAAAAAAAATAAATAAATAAATAAAGAAAGAAAGAAAAATGGCTTACGATTTACTTTGATTTGTCATCGAAGTTTTTCAAATTAGTTAATTTTTTTGTGTTCATCAGAATAAATTGGACGACTGCTCAGGTTTGCGGAAAGATTACTTAAATCAATTAATATTTTACTGCGTTTGTATCAAATAAATTATCTTTGCTCTACGTAAAAAAGAAAAGTATTTTCTCACCATCTCTCTCTCTCTCTCCCTCTCTCTCATTTTATATATCTATATCTATAATTCTCAAAATGTGTGTTTGTATGTCTGTGCGTATGTGATCGGATGTTGTTTATACATTTCCGCAGTTTTCATTCGATTTCGATTAAATATTTTTGTTTGATAGATAATTCTTCAGTGCCGGTTGGCTGGAAATATTACAACCTTGAAGGTGAAAAATCGAAAAAACTAATTTTTTACCTTTTGCACAAAACTCAAAGGCAAAATTTGATGTCTGTGAAAAATAGCGTACAATCAATATAAAGGGCTGAAATCTAACGCAAAAGTTTATTAGAATTATAAAAAAAAATAATTTATAATTAAAAATTGTCGTATATTATTATTATGACAGTCAATGTAAGAGGTTTCTTCCTTGCAAAATTGAGGATGCAAAAACGGTTCTCTTAAGGGCCACACCCCATTCAAATTTTTTTACTCCCTACCTCCCGCCATTTGGGGGATGTGCTTCATTTGCACCCAATTATTCTTGCTAATGCTGATTTTGGGTGGACTGACTTTAAACACACACTCATATATATATATATATATATATATATATATATATATATATATATATATATATATATATATATATATATATATATAACTATATAAAACTATATGAATTAGATTAATCCATAATATTGATGATGATTTTTGATTTTGTAAATTAAAATTTAATTACATGAATTTTTAAATCTATCAGGTTAACAAGAAAAAGTCAAAATAGAAGTTTAATTTTGAAGTTTCTTGTTAACTTTATGGATTTGAAAATCGTTGTAATTTAATTTTAATTTACAAGGTGAAATGGTCATCATCAATATTGTGGACTAATCCTAATTTTTATTGCAAATATATATGCTCTGGTTTGAATAAAACACTGAGCCTTCTCTGTGAATCAATTTTGATATTCTATTTTTAATATACTAATAGAATTGGCTTGTATCAACTGGATTTCCTATATATATATATATATATATATATATATATATATATATATATATATATATATATCTCACACTATTCATCAACACTTTCTATGTCAACTTATATAAGCTTAATACTGACCGTTGAAAATGTAAATTTTAAATTCATTTTTCGTTCCACCTTTGAAAGTGAAGTTCGAAGATCCAGAGAAAATAAAATTCTCTGGTGAAATAAATTATTAAAGTGGTCTGCTTTTCTTTAAATTAATATGTATATATATATATAATCTCACACTATTCATCAACAATTTCTATGTCAACTTATATAAGCTTAAGACTGACCGTTGAAAATGGAAATTTTAAATTCATTTTTCGTCCCACCTTTTGAAAGGGAAGTTCGAAGATCCAGAGAAAAATAAAATTCTCTGGTGAAATAAATTATTAAAGTGGTTTGCTTTTCTTTTAAATTTATATATATATATATATATATATATATATATATATATATATATATATATATATATATATATATATATATTACGTGACATGCACAAAGTCGATTCGGTTTTACTGCTTTTAAACTATGTGACGTCGTCCCCGGTCGCAGCGCCAACTGTGACGTTCTATCCTGGTCTACCACGGCGCCAGTTGTGACGTCCCCAAAAAGCACCACCAGACGTCCTCGCCGCGGCGCCAGCTGTTCGCTCCTCGCTGTTCCGTCCGGGTGTCGCTGCTCCAAACGTGACGTCCTGTGACGACCAACTGGCTTGGTATCGGTCGCGGCACCCAAATGTGACGTTCTAACCTTTTGGTGATTCGGTGGGAATCTGGTTAGATTTGATATCAGCCTCGTCGTTCCCAACTCGCTTCCAACGCCTGGTTACCAAGGTAACTGCATTGATCTCCAGTCTGCCTACCCACGTTGTGAATTGATCTTAGACAGACGAGATCAAACAGTGGTTGGGGCCGTAATGCAAATTGAGTTCAACGGGGTTGATACTACACAAATATGCATAAAAGAAAATAAAATGAAAACTCAAAAAGTTCAAAGTATCAAAGAAAAAGGTAACAAACTTTATGTCTAGTTGTTCGATACATAGGACTGCATCTATCTCCCGACCCGTTCTGTGGATTGTGATACGTCGTTTCCGCTAGGCAAGATTTAACGCATCAAGTTGTTTGCTCTCTAAGAAATTGGTGTTTCAGTGTGTCTTTGGACGAAAGTCGAAAAACTTATTTCGGTGGTCTGGTTCTAAGTCGCTCTTCAAAATAATTGTTCTTGGGTTGAAGAGGAGTCCGGAATTTTTGCGTGAATCTTGGTCAGCTATCTGCGAGGCGGTTTCAACTGGAGACTGACTCTGGGAACTCAACTCTGGAAACTCGAGCCCGACTCTGGATACTCATCTCTGCCGCCAGAGCCGGAACTGATTTCTGCCTGTTGGGGCCTCGCTTTTATTGGCGCTGACCAAAACCGGGTTGGGTCTGTTGGCGTCGGGGGTTCCTCGATAATTCTAAATACATATCCACCTCTTTTTTATTTCTGGTTAGGGATTTTCCACTCTCTTCCATTTTTGGGAACCCTTCCTCACTCCCACCTTCTTACCATGCCTCTGAGGGGCGTGAACTGCCCTCCCCAATTCTTCGTAGCTGCTTCTCATACTTACACTCTGGATGGAGCGTCGACAGCCTTCTTCATGCGTCACGTGATCACTCTCGGCCAATGAGGTCTTGGTCGGGTATCTTTCCTCCTCCTTCGTGCGTCACGTGATCACCACCTGAGCAATGATGTCTTAGTCGGGCGTTAACAATCCGTGGCTTTGTTTCGGGAAAAAAAAATATCTTGCTTAACTAAAAAAAAATTATCTCTTCTCTTTCGCTTAAATCGCCGTTATCATTTCTCTAGCCACGGACAATACACGTGGTGTTTGTCAGGTATCTTATCGCTAATTCATCAAGATGGGTGGTATTCTTAACATGGCTTAAAAAAAAAAAATATCCCCAAAGTTTTCAGTCAGTCTGTGGCCTCCAAGGAAGAAAGAAAAACACTTCTGGTTCCCCATTCATTTTCCTTCGGTACGTACTCCTGATAAAATAATTTTATTATTGCAGGCCAAGTTGTTTCGTCGAAAAGAATTCGGTCAGCGCACTGCTCGTATGGGATTTAATTTTTCATATCTGTCCAAATTCCTTTTTAGTGGCCTGTTTCTCGTCACTTATCGAAATAGCATTTTCACTTGAATTTTTCCTTGGCCAGTGGTCTAGATAACACAGCCGTTATCAAAACACATCTGGTTCCTTCTTTCTTTTCCTTTTCTTTTTTACTCAGAAATTCCCTGTCATTGTAATGACACCCTTTTTCATTTGTTACTTATCAATATTTTCATTGTCTCTTAGCCGTGTGTGTGTCTGCTTATCACCTATGAATCGTCTCGCATTTCTTTCTGCCTTCTTTTCCTTCTCTTCCTTTCTCTGCCTCGTAAATGGTGCCACAACTACAATCTTTCATGATTTACCTCGAACGTCATATCTGCTCGAAGCGTATGTCAACGTAAACAAATGATGTCTCACACTAGGTTCAAGAGAAATCATGGAAGATTGTAGGTTAAAAGCAGTAAAATCAACCTCGCTAACCAGATGCTCCTCTGTAGCTGAACTGGTATAGCACGTCAGGCTATATGATGGTTCCGTGTAGGATACACGTTCGATTCCAGTCGGAGGACACACGTTTCTCGGATGTCCAGGCTGGTAAATATTGTTAATACTGTTTATCATAAACAGAGCACTCACTTAAATATTTGTGTCTATATAAAATAACGTATAACAATAAAATATATTAAAATAATTGTCGCTCTTTATCCATTTCGCAGTGTGACGTCATTTGTTTACGTTTAGGTTCGCTTCAAGCAGAAATACGTCCGAGGGAAATCATGGAAGATTGTAGTTTAAAAGCACCCCACCACACACACACACACACACACATATATATATATATATATATATATATATATATATATATATATATATATATATATATATAAAAATTTAAAAATATGGTTCCTACACAGGAATTTCAAAAAACATTAGTTCTGTTTCATCTTCAAGCAAATTTTGTAATAACTTATTTTAAAATTTACTTAGTTTTAAAAGCAGATACATACATACATTTTTTTTGTTTTTGTTTCCAAGGATACAGAGAAAAATCCAATCATTTAGTTAGGGCGGTTTCTGTTTCAAATTCAAAGAGGCTTTTAACACAATACGACGACAATGTCTATGCGTAGATCGAGAAGTTTAAAAGTGGCTGGGCAAGCGTTCTGGACGAAGAAGGAACAGGACACCCCTCAACCTCCAACCACTGACAAGAAGATTTAGCAAGCTCGAAAGATGGTAATGGCGAACCGGCGATTTATCATCGATGAGCTAGTAAGTTCTCTAAATTCGGATCACAGCTCTTTGTTCCTCTTTGGTGAACAATCAAATTCAGGCTTTCAACATTGTAGTGATATGAAAACGCTCGTTGGAAACACGTGCATAAATCAAAGAAACGGTATAGTAAAGTATCCATAGAGCCCGCACTCCCGTCCTACGTCCAACGAAAGTGTGTGCGAAGCGGGGGTTAAGAATTCCGACTTCATTATTCGATGTTAGTCGTCGGGGAGACACAAGACTGAAAAAAAAAAACAATCATCTTTTTCAACGTTATTTATTATTTTTATATTATAATAAATCCTTTAAAAATATTAAATTCTGTTTTACATTTTTAAAAATAAACAAGGTGATTGAAAAGTAACTGCGCATTTTAAAATACTTAAAAGTTATTTATTAACTATAATTTTTACAAGATATGAGAGGAAAGCGTTTAGCATGAGGTTTTTTTTAAATTTCAATATGGGCATCAGATTTCGCTACCAACTTCTCGAGCCGCCCAGGAATCACATCAGCTGATTCCACCAGGAACTCTTGTGGTATGGAAGACATAACTTCTTGTATTTGGTCTTCTTGTTTTGATATAATAGACTTACTCCTTTAACCAATTCCAAAGAAAAGAGTCACATGATGTTAAGTCATGACTCCTGGCTGACTCAGTCAGTTATGTGCCATGCGTGAAACACGCTTAGGCGATCATGTATCTTTCGATACATGACTGACGAGGCAGATTTTTTTTTCTACAGTAGGTTGCCATTTCTTTCTGCAGTAGACCAGTTGCCATCCAAGACTATATAACTTGGTCTGTCCTGCTATTTAGCCATAGCTTTTGGAGAAGAATAGGATTCATACATTTCCCAAGGGAATTAGCACGTAAGTGAATGTAATGGATTCGACTGGAATTCGAACTCGGCTCTCCGATTCCTCAATAAGAGTCGCTATCCATTACTCCACCCTGCCTAATCGTACATAAAACGGGGAGTTACTTTTCAATCAACCTGTATATCGCATTATCAGGAACTTAATCTAAAGAAGAACGTGACTGATTATCAAAAACTAAATCTAATCTTTTCTAAAATTTAAAAAGAAAAGTGAAACTTTCGGCCCTTGCTTAACCATTAGCAAAAAAACAATTTTTTGTATTTTTTTTTTTTTTGTATTGATGCGGCATTCACCCTGGGCGGATTGAGCCGGCTTCTTCCTGTTGTGAGAAGAAGATTCTTGGGATAAATTACAGAAGTAGGGTACCCAGGCCTACTCGGATAACGTTCTTGCTTGCCGCGGGGTTCCCACAGACGCAGAGACAGGAACGACCAGAAGCCGCCGGTTACCGATACAGACGCTCCTTGGATTTTCACCAGAGCCCTTGTTAGCCGGCGTGTGTGTCAGACCTGTCCTTACGGTCAAATCACGCTGAAAACACCGGTTCTCGTTCGATCCCCGAAGTTAAGCATCGTAGAGCCAGGTCAGTACTTAGATGGGGGACCGCTTGGGAACACCTGGTACTGTAAGCCCCCAAAGTCCAACCCTTACCTCACAGTCGGTGGGGGGTGTAAACGGTAGTGTCAGAGCTATGCCGTCCGGAACTTCGTTCCTGGTAGGCTACCCCCCCAAAAAAAAACCCAATGCACAATCTTGATTCAGACATGCATCGTTTGTCTTCTATTACTGCAGTCGTGACATTCAACCGCCCCACATTTGCCTTCACATTTTTTTGATAGGGCAATTTTCTGTCTTAGGGTCACTTAAGGTACAAAGATACTTATTGTGCGAAAGGTAAGATCAAGAAGCGTATTTGATTCATATATGAGGGAAAGATAATTTAATCTTAGATTTGTAGAGGTTACCATTTTAGTGGTCGGAAAAAGCATTCTCCTGGGATTCTGTTTCACAAAGCAACAGTTCTTCCAAAGAAATTATCCTAGTGCAACTTACACCTTCTTAAAGGGCTACGAACGGAATGAGGGTGGTTCGCCACAATGTACCCGACGTAGAAAGTCTTAGCTGTGAGGGTTAAGGTTGGGGTAACTAAGAAATGTAGCACATTCAAACATTTTACATGGCAATACAGGTAGAGTAGCGAGAGGCTTTCAACATTTTGTCCGTAGAAAAGGAATTTTGAAGGTTGAAAAGAATTCATCACACACAAGGCGCTGCAGATCCTTTTTTAAAACAAATAAATGTAATAGAATTATTTAAATTATTTAAAAATTATCATTACATATCAAATATAAGTATGTATATTACCAGCTCCCAATATTTTTCTTTTTGATTCTTTTATTTTATTTTTAAATATTATTCAAGGAAAATTTTTGACAATGTCTGCAAAGAATAGCTAGTAAATTTTTATTTTTTATAAACTTAGTTATATATATTTGATTCGAAAATGAGGGAAAGATAATGTAATCTTAGTTTTGTAGAGGTTACCATTCTAGTGGTCGGAAAAGCATCCTCCTGGGATTCTGTTCCACAAAGCAACAGTTCTTCCGAAGAAATTATCCTAGTGCAACTTACACCTTCCTAAAGGAATACGAACGAAATGAGGGTCGTTCGCCACAATGTACCCGACGTAGAAAGTCTTAGCTGTGAGGGTTAAGGTTGGGGTAACAGCACATTCAAACAACGTAAAAAAAAGGAATTTTGAGGCTGAAAATAATTCATCACCCACAAGGCGTTGCAGATGCTTCTGAAGATTGGAAAGGGGTGACTAGGCATTATCTGCAGCAGTACTTCATTTTCGGCCTTATCTGGCTCTTGTAAAGGTAGAAGATAGCTGAACTGGTACAGGGAACCGACTATTTTTCTAGACTCTTTAGCGATGGATCGTTCTACTTGAGGTCTTACGTCCCAATTGGCGTTCTATTGAATGGGTCTCATTGGGAGAAAACCGATTGCTCGCGACAGGTGATAATTTGACGGCTGCATTTTTACAGCAGCCATCGTCTTTACAATGTATGTGTTTTTCATTTGACAACATATTCTTCTCAGAATCCGTTTAACTTAATGACAATGCTCTTGGAAGAGCATAAATATATTTCTTCGCGTCACTAGCTATTGGGAAAATAGCAGGGTACACTGAAATCTCTATCGTTGATGGTAGTCTAGGGGAACGAGAATTCCAGATACCAAAGTGTGGAGATGGCAACCCGGTCCTCTCAATTTAATCTTAATTTCACACGAAGGCATAGGAATCAGAGACAATAAAGGAAAGGGCACCGTGGAGAGCAATAAGCGCCTATGTTCTGAAGTGATATGGCATTAATAAAAGAGTAACCATTTACCCCCACCCAAAAAGATTACTGAACTGCTATGCAGTATCTAATCTTCTATATGGCAGTGAATTCAAAACAATAGTTAATGGATAAATCTAGGAATATATATATATATATATATATATATAATATATATATATATGTGTGTGTGTGTGTGTGTGTGTGTGTAAAAATAATTTTTTTCATGCTGGACGCAATCGGCAGGCGGCCTAACGATTGCATCCACCATGAAACAGACTGTCGCCTCTGAGTGTTGACTTCTATGTTCACTTTTATATTTACATACGCTCTATCTCTGATATTGAGCACTTTATCCCATAAATATAGCACACCTTAAAACTATATTTCTTCATATATATATATATATATATAGAGAGAGAGAGAGAGAGAGAGGGAGGGAGGGAGGGAGAGAGCAGTAATTTACAAAGCAAATAGTAATAGATACAAATGGCCAGAAAAATATACATAGGGTAACTTGAAGAAGAGCTGGTACAATCAGAAGCCATCTTTTAAGATAGAAAGCCTTAGAAATTCTACTCAATTAGAAAGCCATGTGTGGAAATTAAAGAAGAAAAATATTTTTTTTAAGACGCAGTACCTTACAACATTCATAGTAACATCTGCAATCTTTGTCAACAAGAAAAGTTAGCTATAATAATATTTCCAGACCGAAAAAATATTTGAATGAGAGCTCGGAAATTATGATGCGTTTTGTACATGCTGTCGCCTCCGAGTGTTGACTTCAATGTACACTTTTATATTTATATTTATATACGCTATGCCTCTGATATTGAGCACTTTATCCCATAAATATAGCACACCTTAAATCTCTGATTCTTCATATATATATATATATATATATATATATATATATATATACTCACTCACATTTTTTGCTTATTTATTCCAGTGTACAACATTACAAAAATACGTTTAGCGATAAAGACGACATCCCGCTAACTTATTTACATGCTGCAACAGTCCTCCTTGCAGTCATGCGACTTACTACTGGAATTCATACACAATAGACCTGTCACATACATCTGTGACATCTGGACACATTTTGACTCAGTTTTCCGTTTAACCTATATTAACGCAATTCGTTCAGTTGTACCTTAAAATTGATTCTCAAAACATTCTGTGTGAAGATGTTCACAAATTATATTTGTAAATCATTTTCAGTTTGAAGGAAAAATAATACACCAACAAATATTATATAAAATTTTGGAAATCCGTGTTTGAAGATTAATTTAATTCTTCGTCTATACAGTCATATTCCGCCACACCCACCCACACACACACACACACATACACACATAGACACACACACACACAAACATGTGCGTGTGTTCATGAGAGGGAGAGAGAGATAGATAGATAGAGAGAGAGAGAGAGAGAGAGAGAGAGAGGAACAAAGATAAAAATGTAATACCGATTAAATTGGCTATTATCATATGTTGGCTAACTAAATTATTTCGTAGAATATTTCACACTGATTTCTATCCGTTCATAGTAAGTGGGCTCCTTAGGCAGATGCGATGGCTAACAGGTTATGTAATTGTAAAGGTCTTCTACTAGAATGGCTGGTTCATCTTGGCAGCAGGCACACACTTACATACATTTCTCTTTCTTTAACATCGACATAGTCAACCAGTGATTTATACTTCGATGATGCTGGGCAGTTTCTTGGTAAGAACGCATAGACAGGCGTGATCAACAGTTGGACCCGCTCCGTACTCTGCAAGACCTCGGTCAAGATGAATTGTGATTCGCGCTAGCAAAAACATCAACAACTTCTGAACTGTTTTTTATCCCGAATTTCACTGAGAAATCTAGACATTAGAAACCATTATTATTAAAGAGGAATATGTTCTGACTGGGTTCATTTTATTCTGTCATATTGTCAGATAAAATTGAGCTTTCAAGAGAGGACGTCTCATTGTTGTTTCTTTAAACTGACAATTAAGCTGCGATGACTTACAATACTAGAATGCTCCTCACGGTATTGACCTTATGTCAGACTAAGCTAGACTTACCAAATCTCTATAAAATTGATAAGAGGCATAGCTAATGTCTTTATGGAGTGAGTGTCGATGTGGTTAGGTGTGGCATGCAACCGTATCTGCAGCTGGTATTACGAAGGGATTGGTAGCTGTGCACCATCTCATCTGGTCCAAGTTCTTGGCCATCGATGCCGAGATTATGTCGACGTTCTGGGAGTCACTTGCCGCTTGTGGGCCGTGTTGAAGGAATATCTATGAGGAGGCAACCTCATAAAAATGGATCTACAGTCCACTGCTGCGAGCAGTGATGTCCCGAATCCACTTCTCACGTCGTAAATTTTAGAAGCGGAACGTGGGCCAAATGCTCGGGCGTCCGACCAGGATTTCCTTTATATGCATCAATACGTATACGAACGCAATAGATCGCGCACCAACACACACACACACACACACACACACACACACACACACACACACACACACACACACACACACACACACACATCTATCTTATAAAATCTCTCGAAATTAAAAAATTAGTATTCCAACAATTTACCCATCGCAATCTGTGTGTTTGTGTGTGGTTACGCTTGTGCTTACACACACACACACACATATATATATATATATATATATATATATATATATATATATATATATGTAACACAAAGACAAAATAAAATTTAGAATTCCAAATAATTTACCCATCCCACTCTCTCTGTGTCTCTGTTATATATATATATATATATATATATATATATATATATATATATATATATATATATATATATATATAAGAAAGAACAGTAAGATTTATAATTCTGTGTTCTTAGCAATTATTTTCATTTAAAAATAAACAGTGCTCGATACAAAGTGTAAAGCGTAATATTACAATGGAATGAAACTGTGGATTTTAAGTTTATGTTTTATAATTAAAATTACAATTTATTTTCAGTTTTGAAATAGAAATTATTGTGTCGCGATGGAATCATATTTTTAAAAAAGAAAATAATTATATATATATATATATATATATATATATATAACAAATACACGCACTCAGTACGATGTGTAAATTGTCGAAATTCGATTTTTTTTCATTTCGCGCATGCGCAGTGTCTCTTTTTGAATTTATTGACTGCACAATACAATATGGTTAGTCACTGTCTGTGAAAAATAAGTTACCCATGAAGTAATTCCCTCTTTAAGAAATTTGGAAACAGCATGCTGTACGCCTTGGTATTCGCACCAGAAGCTCCAATACGAACATTTACGTGTGTCAATCTGAGGACAATACAGAGGATTCCGAAAGAGTTGGATGAGTCTAATGGTGATTACGAAGGTATGCCAGATCGGAAAACTCACTCTGATCGTTCTGATAAGAAAAGACCTCCAGAATTTTTTTGGTGAGTGTCTCAGACTCAACACAGTGGCCTACATCAAGTGCCCTGAGGAGGTAGTGGTGATCTTGGTTAAGAAGGTGGCTGCTGTAAGACCCTCTGCCCGGCAACAGGACTCTACAAGGATATCAAGTTATTTTTGTGTAATTCTGGTAAATATATCTGTTAAAACGAGAGGTCAATGTTATTTTTATTTTTGCGTAATTTAGAGATCAATTTATCCAACGCGACCTGTACATATATATTAATTATTTCACCACAAGCAAGGCAATAAAGCTACTAAGGCAAACGTTGTTCCTCAGTGTGACAGAATAAGAACATCATTAGGAAAAAATTAAGGGGAGAAAAGAATAAAAGAACATTAATCAAGAAGACAGTAAATAACGATCGACATTGCATTTAAAGTTTTGAAAACCAACGTTGCCTGGAAAGCATGGAAGTTCCATCAACGAGAAGCGCTAGAAAATAAAATTGTAGCTTAGAACCTACCGTTTCATCTAGCCTATTCATACAAACACGTATATATATATATATATATATATATATATATA